CAACTATAATCTTACATATCTAATAGTTAAATTAATTATGTATTACTAATAAAGTTTAACACTAATTGTTTACAACTATTTTATCAGTAATTTATAATTATCACTTCGACTTTTTATAACTATAACTTAACATATCTAATAATTAAAATGGTCATACATTAGAAGTAAGGGCAGTATTGTCTTTATAATTTAATTTTAAATTACACTCAAGTCCTAGGGACTTAGTTGTGATTTTTAAATTTTAGATGACTTATTATAAATAAGTGTGCTATGTGGGATCTATATGTAATTTGTTCAATTTTTTTCACAAAACTAGATTGAGAAAAGAGAGAATTGCATATAAGACCCTCAGGAGCAAGATAATTTCTCTTAAGGCTTTGAAACTAGAAAGGCCAAACTATCCCTAATAAAAAATGCAATGTGTCTCCATTTGATGCTCTGCACATTCATCTTAGGAGGCAAAAGAAAAGACATCAATTCAAACAACAATGAATAAGAAACTATCAAGAAATCACATGTTAGCAACTCAAAATTTTCTATTTTTGCAAGGATCAAATCATGGGCTTTTGCCTTAAGTATCCATTCCACTACCTCGTGACGAGCAAGCGAAAGATCCACCCTTGGATCAAAGCAAGCTTCTTGTTCTTTGAAGAAGAGAGAGTCAAGCTCTTCATCTTCCCATAACAAGTCTTGCTCCCACAAGATCCGAGTAAGAAGAAGACCTCTGAGAAAGAAGACCAGTTTCATGATTCCCTTTCACTTGTTGTACTTCCTCCCCCTCCCACTTCATAACAATAAAGAGCACCAAGGAAAGATGAAGAGTTTTCATGGTGAGTGATAAGACATATTATTTACATACGTTTATTAACTTATTAGTATCATTTTACACAAATTAAAAGTCTCCATATGCATCATATCACATTCTTAGTATAGTTTTGTCTAAGTGTTTAGTTATATGCATTAAGGGTAATTTAGTCATAAAATACACTTTTTCACCAAAATGAGGTTGATCTTGAGATTTATGTATTTTAATGTGCTAAGATAGTTGATTAAATTAATTTTTATTGATTCATCCTAGGTTGAGAGTTGTTAGGAAAAGACAAGATTTTAAGGTTATCTCCTTATGGGTGTGTTTGATTCGAGGAGAGAGATTTGATGTTACCTTATTTGATTCAGGAGGGAAGGAAAGGAAAAATAATTATATATGAATAATTTTACCCTCATTTTACTAGTATTGAGATACTAGAAAAGTGTATCTATATTTTTTGAACTTATCATGAAGGGTATATTGGTTAGTGTATGAAAAATTTTACCCCTTCCCTCTCAATCCCCCCAATTTGAAGGGAAGGGTTTGGAAGGAAGGGGAGGGGAGATTTAAAAAAAAAAATTCCTCTCCCCTCCTCTCCAACCAACATCCCCTAAAGGTTTTCCTTTAGCTTTTAATTTTAATTCAACTGTGTGTTTGTCTACACTTGTATCTTGTGAAGCTTTCATATTCTTTTTCCTTTATTCATTTTAATACTTTAGATGAATTAAATATTTTCTATCTTAATCTAATTAAATAAATGTCATATTATGATTAGTTGATTTAATTATGACTTAGGTAAATTAATGTCACAAATGAAAACATAACTCAAGGCAATTGAAGAGAAATTCCAAAGGGCATTATTAGCATGACATAATTAGATTTGGAGAGGTTCGAATTGGGTTTGAAATGATGCATTATATTAGATCAAGTTTATATTAAAATTATCACCAATTTTCCTCCAAAACTTTAAGTAGTTTTAGGTCAAGTGGACAAGTTGTTGAAGGCCACAACTAATTTAGAAGTTTCCATCATTTTTCTCTAATTTTCTCTTAGCCAAATTTCATGGACTTCACCTCCATTCGGATCTCTCACTCATTTTCCTATTTCCAAACATTTTCTTACTTTCTCATTTGTTCTTTAATTTTCCTATCCAATCAATCACCCATAACTCTCTCATTTCTCATCTCAATCACACAAAATCATATTCATTCTTTTCATCTTCCTATTTTTGTCCGCACCCTTGTATCCAATTGAGGATTGAAGGCTCATATCATCATTTGAAGGAGATGAAAGGTTCAGCCAAGTTGGATTTTAACCTTGAAGCTTTGAAGATGATGATGGATTGCTAGATTTCTCAAGTGATTCTAGAGAAAAGATGGATGGAGGATGAATTAATTATCTTCTAAAGGCCAAGACTTTCTAGTTCTCTTAGGTTTTCTTATTCGATTTGATGTTTAACATCATAATCTTATGTTTTTCTATTGATAATTCTCTTGCTTTGCTCTTACATAATTTTTTGAGTAAGGTTAAGACACTAAAAAGAACTGCTATAGTCTTGGTGTTCAATCTAACCTTTAAGTGCCATGGTATTTATTAGGGTTCTTCTAACCTAAGCATTTGGTCAATTAAAATCAAAGTAGGAAAATAACGTAAGGATATTAGTTGACGACTTACAGAATTGAACTAACTAGATCAAATTTCTTAAGATAGTCCTCATAAGGAACTAATCACACAGCCAAAGAAGAGAAATCACACTAAATCCATAAACATTGATAAAGATAATAATTTTTTCACAGTCTAAACTCTAGGGTTCCATTTTAATAAAAGGGTATTTACACTTTGGATTAGTTTAGTTCATTAGTTGGTTGCTAACCTCTCTTAACTTTTGGATAAATTGTGTACTAGATAGTTTCATTATTGAATTGAGACACTCACTAAGGAGATAACTTAAGGTTGACCTTATGTTATATTAGAGTTAAAACTTGTACTATTTTAATAGGTATGCAATTAGCCTGCATTAATGAGGTAGTTGTTTATGGTGATAGTGGATGATTACCATCTTCTTTTAGGGGGGAGAGAGTAATTGCGCTTTGGTTATCATAAAAGTAAAGACACAATGACTTACCCATCGCCCCTCTCTCTTCCTTTTGCTTTCAAAGAGAATATGCAAAGCATCGAAAGGAGAGATTGGGATTTTAGAGTAAGGGTAGTTTGGTCTTTTTAGCTTGAAAATAATTGCACATGAGGCCTTTGACTAGAGTTGTCAATTAAGGCCAAATCCTATATGAGCTGGTCTAATAAGCCCGATTATATGTTAGAGTTTTCTTTTATAAGTCCCAGCCTAGCTCTCAAGGTTGAAGAGCCGGCCCTCAGGACCTTGACCTTATTTTTTTAATTTTTTTCAATTTAAAATCATAAAAAATATATTTATAATCATAAAAAAGTTATTATACATAATATTAAGTTTAAGAAAATAAATTTAAATCAATTTACACCATAACAATAAAAAAAATTTAAACATTTAAGTCTAATATCATATAGCAACATCAAAGTTAATATTAATAAAAATTAGACTTAACTAACATTATCAGTTAAATCTTAATAAATGAATGAGAGATGGATGAACGAGTTTAATATGTTCATTTTTTTGAGTTATATATTTAATCTTTAATTTTTTAAATAATAGTTTTTTTAAAAAATAATAAAAAGGCTTAAAAGGGCCGGCCCTAGCCCTAAAGAGTTAACCTTTTTATTTTCGAGCTTAAAAGAGCTTTTTAAGCTCAAATTATCATTTTTTCTTCTAAAATAGCAGCCCAACCCTAGTCATTTTTGGGCTTAAAAGGGCTTGCCCGACGGTCTTAGTCCTAATTGACAGCTTTGCCTTTGACAGTGCAATATTAGAATTTATTGGACCTTGAGAGCGATTATCTTACTTTTAAGGCCTTATATGTGATTCTTGCTTGACAAAAATAAGTTTAGTTACAAAGGTTTTTTTGTTTTAGCTTCCCCTTTTCTTTTGGGAGAATGATACTTGAGTCCAAAAAAATTATTTTATTTCAACTAAATCTCAATGAATTTCAAAATACAAAAGAAGTTCCTTGATTCTTAATTGATCTTTTGACAAAATTTTAAACTTATAAATTTATATTATATTTTCTGAAATTTTCAACTACTTCTACTTTAATTTACAACTCAATTTCCTATTTTATTTTTAGAGCACAATTTTTTAATAAAAAAATTCTAATAATGAATTTTATGATATTATTTATTTAGCTCCATAAATTTACAACTTACTCTTTTAGATTTGCAATTTCATCTATTATGATTTGCAACTAAATATCTCAATTTCATTTATGAACACAATCTCAATTTTCTCATGAGAAATTATTTATTCAATTTCAAGATTTTGCAACTTACCATCTATAATTTATAATTCTATTTACCTTAGTTTGTAATTTAAGTTCCAAATTTTATTAAAAATTTGAGATTTTAGCCTTGAATTTATAATGTTATTTTGTGAGCTATAGGTATTTGCAACTTATTTTCTCATATTTGCAACTTTATATCCCAATTTTATTTATGAACACAAAATTTTACTATTAATTTTATTTAAGAAATTTTATTTATGAATTTCTAAATAATATTTGGAACTCAAGTTGTAAATTAAAGTAAATGGAATTGCACACGAGGTAAGGCATATTGTAAATTCTTTGAATTGAACAAATAATTTTTCATGAAAAAAAATATTGAGATTATGTTTATAAATAAAATTAGGATATAGAGTTGAAGATTATAGTAGATAAAATTACAAATATGAGAGAATAAGTTGTAAATTTCTAGAATTGAATAAATATTTTATGCAATTTAATGTTAAAATTTTTTTTAATAAAAAAATTTATTCTTAAATTAAATTAGGAAATCAAGTTGCAAATCAAGTAAAAGGAATTGAAAATTTTACAAAATAAGTTATAAATTTAAAAATTTAAAATTTAGTAAAAAATTAATTTAAAAAAATTTATTGATTTTTTTTATTTTAAATTTGATTGAAACTTCACAGAAATAAAATGGTTCAATTGGTATTCAAGTGTCATCCTCCCTTTTCTTTTGTTGGTTCTCTAGGCCGATGGTGCTTGCGGACCGCGAAGAGCTAAACTACTTGGCTGGGTATTATTAAAAAAAAAAAGAAAAAAGAAAAAAACTTGGCTGGGTTATAAAACTTGAAAATAGGTGGGCGGTGGCACAAATCGTTCACTTCTCTTCAGGTTGAATTTAGTTGTCTCGATCGAGTTACTTCAGCGGTTTCCTATTTGTGTTGCTTTTACTCCTCTTCCGAACGAATTTGCCTTTGTCATCGTCCCTGAAAAGCTAGGGTTTCACTTTGCTACAATCATGAACTGTGAAGTTTGCCAACTCAAAGAACTGGTAACCTGAAAGCGTTTTTTAAGCTCTCCTTTTCAGTGAATCTCTCTATCATATTTGAAAGCAGTTTTCTGTTTTGATCATGTCGGAATTCTTGATGGTTGTTTGCTTGCAATATCGCATGCTTGCAGGAACTAGAGCAATTTGAGATACGTGAAGTTTTGCGATGTAATCTGACTCGAAATTCGCTTTTCATTGTTATTATTTTATATTCTATAGCTTTTTTTTCCCCAGTTTAATTGATTTTGAAAATCTTCGCGTCTCGATTGGTTGCAGGCATACTACACACCATCCTGTTTCATCGGGCCTTGGGTCTTGTCCGTCCAAAAGATGTAGACTTGGAACTATTTGATATTACTTACGTATGTATTTTTTAATTCCATTAGCTTCTTATAATTGTTTGTACGGGAAGTATCTAAAATAATGTTTCTCATGAATCCTTTATTCTTGTATTACTCATCATGATTTCACATAGCTGCAAGTCTTTCCCGCATTCACTTTTCAAACGGCATTGTTTTTCTTTCGCCAGTTTCTAATTGTGCTTGAAGTTGCTTTGTTTACATGTCTTCTTATGCTGTGTTATCTTCTGTTAGTTACCCAGAGGAAGACACAGTTGTTTGAAATATTCTTATTTTGTAAATTTCCCAGTTCTTAATGCTTGAAATTTTCGGCAACTGGAAAAACTTCTTCTTAATATCTTCCTGTATTTTAGCTTTTTATTATTTTTTTCTTTTTTTGACTTCACCTCTTCATGCGTAGGTGCAATGCGGAGAAGATGAACTTGAAAAGAAGGTAGATGACAAGATTGAGCAATTCATTAGTTGGGTCGAGAAGCATCCAAACAAAAAAAGTCAGGTCAGCATTTTGTTAGTTGATTTTCTGTACGCTGTCCCATGCTAACAATTATTCAAGTCTGGGGACATTGCTGCTGGTAGAAAAAAAAAATTTGGTTATCTATGTTCTAGACCTGGTTGCTTTTAGTAGCATGGCCTTCTGATATTTTTCTTGGTGTGTTGCTTTTAGGTTTGCTAGGATTAAACTTAAGCTTTAGAGTGGTATTTCTCATGTTTCGAGCTGCTCATTTGTTGGTGAATTGTGATAGTTTAATAGTCTGTTATGTATACGGGAGACAACACACTTGACGTTCTATTAGCAATTATATTTTGTAATTCAACAACTTTTCTTAACGAAATGAGTAGACTTCTGCAAGTGGCTCTATCTTTTGAGGTTTAAAGATATTAGCTGAATGCAAATTGTGCAAAGTGCTTAGCACAGTGTTAATGTATCATACATATTCTCTTTTTGTATCATATTAGAATAAGCCAATAAGTGCTATCTCTGGGCATTGGTTTTTTCCTATATAATTAATATATATGCCTATTCTGATAAGCTTCTGAATTCTGATGATGCAGATATGCTTATCTTTCTATGAAGTAAAAAACAAACATGTATCTTGGTTCAGTAATAAGATTGAACGCTTGTATTGGGAGCAATGGTATATAAATCTTAATGTAGTCCAGCATCCAAAGGCTCATTCTAACAAATCTCATCATTCTAAAGTTGCTGATCCAGGAGGTGATTAAATTTGTCCTCCCTGTCTTAACCCCTCTGTAGATATTATTACTTCACTCTATCTAATGTATTTTTCCCTTCCTTGCCTGTTTTTCATTTTGCTTATGTTTAGAGGGAGCACTTGAAGATAGAAATGCACGAAGTGCCGCACTGGAATCATCGCTTCGAGAAGTTTTATTTCAAATTATCAAATTTGTTAATGAAAAGAAGGACCATGTTCCTCCAATACCGAATCTTGAGGGTGTCATATCATTCCCCTTTGAAATTACTATACCTAGGTCAGCTATCTTTACTTTGGCTACCCAGATTCTAACTAGGCCTTTCAATTTTGTTATAATATTTCTCATTTGTTTTCTTTACTTGAATTTTATGGTGCTTTGGGCTACTTTTATGTGGTGAGGTTGTTTTGATCTGAAATTGGATGTTTTTTTTTTCTTTTTTTGTGTGGATTGATGACTGCCTGAGTGGTGTCTTTTGTCTTCTGAAGTTTCCTTCTTGTCTTCGTGCATTCTTTAAAATTAGTTGCCCCCTGGTTTCTCCCAATTTTTCCTTTCTGCTAGTCATATTATGTGGGCAGGAAATAGGTAGGTTCAATCTGATTGACACCAAAAAAAAAAAAAAAGCTATAGATTTTACAAGTTATGTGAACTCTGAAGTCAAAGAACCAAGATTCAGAGGCGTTAGAAAAATAAAAATTTAGCTTATAAAATTATTATTCCTCTTATTATTTAAAGTAAAATCAAGTTAATTAGCAATCCTCTCTTGGGTTTTGATTGGCAGTCCTCTTGTGATTCTGGTTTAGTCTGAACAAACTATTAGCTCTAAGTTCTTAGAAGAGAGGGAGAGACATAGTTGAGAACATTGAGTAGATGTTACTAAAAACTTTTCCAGGAAATGATTTTGTACACAATCAAGTTTTATAGTTTAAAGAGCACATGTATTTAATGAAACAATTAGGCTTGCAAAGTTTTCCTTGATTTTCAACTATTTCTGCTAATTGGTCTGTCAATGATATTTGCTACACTCAAGGTTCTGGCATATCAGGATGTGAGATGTTGCCTGCTTGGGATGCAAGGTGGCAATTGGCAGTCATTTATTTTCTGTACAAACTAGTGGCGATTATAAGAGTTTCGTATTCAATGCTTGTTTTTAAATGAGGAAAATCGTTGTTTGACACGGTCCAAGGATTTTATTGCTGGTATCTGGTTACCATTACCATTGAGAAAAATTGGTGCGGATTGGGCTTTTAAATTGTAAATGGAGTACATAATCAGCTTTGGTTGTAGAAAATAGACATAAATTGGTTTCTGCTTTTCTTAGGTGAGGAGATGCTTGGTAATCTGCAAGAAGGATATTAATTGAGTCTCTTCTATGAAACCTAGCTCCTTTTAGTGTGATAGTTACATGAACTTTGTACTTCATCATAGTTTATTTTTTCTGATATTTATATCTTTACTTCTTGATACTGTGTTGTTTTTCCTTTTAACATTTTCATGTTTCTCGGGTTAGGGAGGGGAGCATAGCATCCATTCAGGCATTGTCCCTCTCTTGGTAGGGAACGCAATAAACATTAGTTACCCTGACGTTGAAGAGTTTCTATCTGTATTCTGTTGTCATATTGGTACTCAAATTCTGAGTTTAAAAACTATTGCATTACTTCTCATCAAATTGAGAAGCTAGGTGTTGATGGGTCTCTCTTGATTTTACAAAATAAAGATTTTATTTTATTTTATTTTATTTTTTTTGAGTTGGGGGGGATTCATTGTTAAATTCAGAGCCCCCTTTTTTTTTAAATCTTTAGTAGACTATTTTTTCCCCCAGTTCCTGCATATTTTCGCACTTACCATTTTGGTGACTGTTAAGCCCAGATTTTTAAAATTGTCTATTGAGGTCACTGCTCTAGTGGTCTTGCTCTCGTTTCTTTTCACGAGTTGCAGTTTTTTTGCTACTCTTGATTCACATGAAGCGTATAGATTGGGCCGCTGAGTTAATATTATGTTGCCATTGACCAGTTCATCAGATTCTGCATTTGGGATGGACATGATAAAGAGGATGCTGCAGACTGGGCATCCAACTATGCTAAGCTGATTGTCAGTTCGGACATCGCACATGTGGTCCCGCGGATTCTTATTGTGCATAGACTTGTGCTGGAAGTGTAGAGCTGAGTAAAGCTAAGTGAAGCAAGGTTTAATTTACTTGCCCTTGTAAATATTTCCTTTTTAATTTCACCCTTTCCTTCTATTTCCTCTCTTGGAAGTATATATATTCTGCACTTACTATTTATTGTCTTGTATATATTTTCAAGCGTTCGTGACTTGTGACTTGAGTCGTCTTGCATAACATAATACTAAGTAGTTGCTTTATCGATCGCTTTTTTTATCGTACTTATAAAAATTGGTTGATCTCCATTTTGGTTAGGAATTCCAAGTGATAAATGATTGAGAAGTGGGTTCAATCTCATTAGATTACTACTACTACTACAACTACTAAAAGTGGTTTCTGGTATTGATATTTTTGAAACCAAGATTTTTTTATGACCCACCTTTAGGGTGTAGAAATTTGTTAAGTTCTGATATGACTTGATTGTTTCGTCTTGCACGGACTTGTCCTTGGTTTTCAATTCAAAAAAGAGAAGCGATTTCCGTTACGATGTTTATCCGGTTAGGAAGTCCGATTGCCCTATTGACCATTGTGTTGTCTGGCCAACTCGGGCCGTGCTGACCTCAGTCTGTTGAATCAATCAATAATATGGCAGATCGTTTGAGAATAGAGAGCTGGGCTGGGCTACGTTGGCTCCAATCTAGTCTCGAATCAGGTCGTACCCAAGTTAAGCGAGCTAATGGCTATTTGCCAAGGTGGAAAGTGGAAACGCAACCTCCCATTATGAGATTCAGAATTTGAACCTTGCGTTGACATGTATGTGGGAGATGTAAATATGCAATTGATTTCTTTAGAATAAAGTTATATTGAGCGGAACTTTTAGATTGAAATAAAATTTGACTCCTGGCCCAAAAAAAAAAAAAATAAAATTTGACTCATTTTGTCGTTTCAGTTCTCACCAGTCCAAGCATAGCATTCTTCGCAGTCATCCTTGGAGCCAATTTTACGGTCCGGCTATCGAGTTTCCCAATTCAATCGCAAAAGATTGTAAAGAATTCACTCAATAACGCGGACTCGAATTTTGACTCATGGTTTTGGACTACATGTTGTTATATGGAGCAGTTCAAATGATATTTAGTTTGGTATTTCTAAAGCCAATTAATCATTTATTTCGTTTACACTCAAGCCATTCCATCAGTAGAGGTCTATATATACGAATGTATGATGCTAATGCTATCACATACTATTGACATACGTACATTAATTAGAAACAAAATTCTATATATCAAAATTATTTGCCATCACTTTCTTCCTGTTAGCTGGCAGCTGACGTGGCAATCAATGTTGACTCAGATGCCTCAATAAAGCATACAAAATAAAATATAAAGAAAATGAAAGTAAAAAGCTTCTCAATGTTTTCATCATTAAAAAAATAAAAGAAAAGAAAACTAATGTCAAAATTATGTGTGTATATATAGGTATATAACGAGCCCAAAAAAAAAAAAAGCTTGCATTTATTAACAACTAAACATGCGAAGTGAATTGGGTCTTGGGGACATTCCGAATTTAAATTTGTCCAAAAAGGTAGTCGTCGTCATTCGTCATCATCACATACAGAGCATTCTTGTTGCCAACAACTCTCCTGTCTTGAGGAAGATGAGTCCCTCAATGAACTTATTCTAGCTTATCAAGAAACTCTACCTTGTCAAAAGAAAACAAACGTTTTCACCAAAAAAGAAAAAGAAAAACAATATATAAAAACGTGCTCTTTACGATACTTGTACATTTGATACTGCTAGCATTTTGATTATGGACAAGTTGATGTACTATATATGGTCTTGATTGGTTGGTCATATCTCAAGGTCGTCCTCATGCTTGCACTTGTATCTAGCTAGACTATCCAGTCTGTATTTCCACAGACCACAGTTACACTTCAAATGGGAGGCATACAAAAATCGATCACGTGGCCTTCCCTAGTTTGTATGTCCTTTTAACACAGCGTGTCTACTCTACACTTCGGAGATAACGACGAGTCAATGACACCATCATATGAGTTCAAGGTCTCGTTTGGTTGCCGGGCCCATCTCTTTATACCATCACACTCACGCGCCTGCCAACAGGACGTAGTGAACGTCTCTCAAATCCTATGATGAGGTAGAGTCACTAACTTCACATAATTGATTTTCTATATATCCACTTGCTAAATTAGTCACTGACTTTCATTGATGCGGGAAGTTTCTGAAATCCCATGCACGCTCAAATGAGTGAAGAAAATAAGAACCAAAGGCACTATGTTCTGGTGCATGGAGCTTGCCATGGAGCTTGGTGCTGGTACAAGCTGAAGCCTCGGCTTCAGTCTGCAGGCAACAAGGTCACAGTGCTGGACCTTGCAGCCTCAGGCATCAATCCCAAGAGAATTGAAGAAGTTGGTAGTTTTGCTGAGTATTCTGAGCCTCTATTGGATTTTTTAGAATCACTTCCTCCAAGTGAAAAGGCTGTTCTTGTTGGACACAGCTTTGGAGGGTTGAGTTTAGCTCTTGCCATGGACAAGTTCCCTTACAAGATAGGGCTTGCTGTTTTCTTAACAGCTTTAGTTCCTGATACCCAACACCCACTATAACACCCTAAAATTTTCAAATTAATTTTTCACAAATTATTAATTCAATAAATTATTTTTATATCATCAAACCCTTATCATGGTAGAAAAATTTCTACCATAATAATGAATAGCTAAACTTTTTTTCAGAACTCTACTATGCAACTATAATAATAAATAACTAAACTTCTTTTCAAAACTCTACTGTGGTAGAAAAGAATTTATCATATAAATAAAACATTTTACAAATATCCTACCATAGTAGAAAGAATTTAACATAATGAATTGTTGGCGGCACCAGATGCAGATGCGAACAGCAAACTTCGAATTGCTTGAGTCGTGCCCGAAAGGACACTGTTCTTAAGAACTATTCCGGTACACCTGGATGACGGACCTACAGTTCCCCAGGATTAAACAAGCACTTCCTGCGGCGGAGTAAGGGAACAGAATAGCAGAGACTAAAAACAAGCACAGATGAACAGAAGACAGAGGGAGGAGAGAACGAGAACGCTGGCACATTGTTTTGTTTGCACCCATGTCTATTTATAGGCCGAGGAAGGAGACACAAATGTTGGGTTATAATTACCGGTTAATGCTTCAGTTATACACACATTAAACAACAAACGTTCATGGATTAATGCTTCAGTTACACACGCCTTAAACAACAAAAACGTGCACGTCTATTAATCCAAAAACGTTCAGCGTTCATCAATCTAGAGACGTTTGGCAAACAAAACATTAACGCACAGAATTTGATTTCCAGAAAAGGTTTAATGTCCAAAAACTGCCAAAGCCTAAAGTTCAAATTCAAAATACCAAAATCAGAGGTTTTTTGGGTAAGCTAAAATAATTATTTATTTAATCATTTTTGGAAAAATAACCCAGTAAAAGGAACCCAGTGCCTCTTGAACTCATACACAGGGGGGGCGAATCGGCTGATTTCAACTGCAATTGCCCTGAGTTGGCCTGTCTCATGTGCGCGAGGCCATTTCTCTTCCAAGCCCATTTTATTAGCCCACTTCATTCCTTAGTATATATACACTAGGAGATTCCTTCTTTTAGTCAATGTGGGACTTTGACACACACACTTTTGACACACATACAACAATCCCCCACATGTGTCAAAAGGATCTATGTTCGTCTGTGTTATTCACATGGAGGATAATCACTTTGAATTTAGTGTCTGTCGACTTGAACCAAACCTAGACTAATAAAACTTAGCACACAAAAAAGTTAGTGTAACTTTGTTATTGAACCAACAGATCTTGAACGTGTGCTAGAGGTCTTATTAATCGGATTATACCCCCACAGTCTCTGCTATTAACGACGGTTTTGCACGTTATCGGCCATGCGCATGCCTGGTTTTAACAAATGCTCTAGAGATTTCACCACAATCTCATAGGAGCGACCCCACTCCACATTTATATAGGTGTTTTCATCAAGTATATCTGCAATGAATACACCATCCGTAAGGATTATGAAAACATTAAGAGCTTTCGCTCAACCTCTGTTCAATGCATTCTAGCACTTTCTCAAGCCATAGGAAGGGACAAAATTCAATGCTAGTAGAACTAACAAGTAACTTGTTCTTACCCATTGAACCTTCTTTATGGGATCTCCAATCACAAAGGTTGAGTTGCCATCACCATTAATTTCAAACAGGCTTAAGTCCTATTTCCCTCGACGTTTCAATAATAAATTTTTTCTCTAGGGGTTTAGTTAATGAATTCGCTAAATTTAACTTTAATATTACATAATCGATTGAGATGACCCTGTCTTTGAGCAGCTGCCTTATAATATTATGTCTCAATCGAATATGTCTACTTTTGCCATTGAAGGTCTTATTTTTAGCCGTTGCTATTGCAGACTGGCTATCACAATGTAAAGACACTGATGGTGTGGACTTTTCACCTATTGGAATACTTGCTAAGAAGTTTTTCAACCACTCAGCCTCAGTCCCAGCCAGCTCCATGGCTATGAACTCAGAATCCCTTGAGGATTTTGTGTTGATTGTCTGTTTTGCAGACTTTCAGGTTATTGCACCACCACCAAGAGTGAATATGTAACCACTAGTGGATTTTGTCTCTTCTGAATTCGAAATCCAGTTAGCATCACTATATCCTTTCAATACAGTGGGAAATTCACTATACAATATACCATAATTAATGGTACCTCTCAAATATCTCAAGACTCTCACCAGAACCTCCCAGTGTTTACTGCCTGGACAGTGGGTATATCTGCTTAATCTGCCTACAGCATAAGCTATATCAAGTCTAGTAAAGTTTATCAAATGTAACAGACTCTCAATAATCTGTGCATACTCAAATTGAGCAATTGGGTCACCCTTGTGCTTTTTTAATTGCACACTCGAATCATAAGGAGTACTCAGAGGAGCATCTTCAAGATGTCCAAATTTTCTGAGAATTTTCTCAACATAATGTTTTTGGGAAAGCAAGATTTCATTTTCATTCCTTATGATTTTTACACCCAAGATTACCTTGGCTTCACCCATATCTTTCATGTCAAAATTTGAACAAAGAAATTTTTTTGTTTCATTAACAATACACATACTAGAGCCAAAAATTAGCATATCATCCACATATAAGCATATAATCACACAATCATTATTTACAAGCTTTGTATAAACACACCTTTCTACTTCAACAGTAAAAAATCCACCAGTTGTCAAAACTTGATCAAGTTTTTCATGCCATTGCTTGGGCGCTTGTTTTAAGCTATATAAAAATTTTACAAGTTTACAAACTTTATTTTCTTGCCCCAGAATCACACATCCCTCAGGCTGTACCATGTAAATTTTTTCTTCCAAATCACCATTTAAAAAAGTGATTTTAACATCCATTTGGTGAACAAAAAGTTTGTAAATTGAAGCCAAAGCAATAAGAACTCTTATAGAAGAGATTCTAGTCATAGGAGAAAATGTGTTAAAATAATCTATATTTTCTTTTTGAGTAAAACCATTGGCTATAAGCCTTGCTTTATACTTATCAATTGAACCGTTTGGAAAATATTTTTTCTTAAAAATTCATTTACACCCAATAGCCTTAGCTCCTTGGGGCAAATCTGATAAAACCTAAGTTTTATTTTCCTTAAAGAATCAATTTCCATTTCAATTGCTTCTTTCTAAAATTTGGCATCAGGAGAAGAAATAGCTTCATAAAAATTTAACGGTTCATCTTGTATTAGATAAGTGTAAAAATCATCTCCAAAACTTGTTTCTTTCCTTTACCTTTTACTTTTCCTTCAAACCAAATCCTCATTTAAGTTTTGTTCAAACTCTGAATTCTCAACAGGTTTAGAAATATGCTTAATTTTTAAGGGAAAAATATGTTTAAAAAATTTAGCATCCTTAGTCTCTACAATTGTATTTTGGTCTAAAATATCACTTTTTAAAATTAAAAAGCGATATGCTGCACTTTGTTCAGCATACCCAATAAACATACAATCAGAAGTTTTAGAACTAATTTTTCTCTTTTTAGGGTCAGGTAATAAAACTTTTGTAAGACACCCCCACACTTTTAAATATTTTAAATTTAGGATAAACCTTTTCCATAACTCATAAGGTGTTTTCTTTGTTTTCTTATGAGGTATCCTATTTTGTAAAAAACATGCAGACAAAATAGCTTCACCCCATAAGTTATCAGGGGCAGAAGAACTCACAAGCAAAGTATTCATCATTACTTTTAATATTCTATTTTTTCTTTCTGCAACCCCATTAGAATTGGGAGAATAAGGAGGTGTTATCTCATGTATAATTCCTTATTTTTCACAAAAATTATTTAACAAAACATATTCTCCTCTTCTATCCGATCTAACCCTTTTAATTCTTTTGTTTAACTGATTCTCAACCTCTGCTTTATATAAAAGAAATTTTTCAAAAGCTTCATCTTTGTTTCTTAACAAGTATACTTTAGTATATCTTGAAAAATCATAAATAAAAGTGATATAATATTTTTTACCACCTCTAGTCATGTTTTATTTTAAGTCATCTAAATCTGTATGAATTAAAGATAGTAATTCAGATTCTCTTTGACTAGAAAAATGAGGTTTTTTACTTTGTTTAGTTTCTGCACATACTTCACATTTTCCAAAATTATTGTTTTTAATTTCAGAAAGTAGTCCAAGTTGTCGCATCCTATTTATATAACCTTTATTAGCATGACCTAGTCTAGCATGCCACAGATCAAAAGAATCAACCATATAAATAGGCATATACTTAGAAGATTCAGTCTTGTTCATTTCATCAACATTCAAAACAAACAGTCCCTGATTACAATATCCTTTACCTACAAACACATTATTTTTGTCATTACAATCTTGTCAGATTCAAATGACACTTTAACCCTAACTTTCCCTAAAAAAGTAACTGACACTAAGTTAGCTCTAACTTCAAGCACATGCAGAACATCGTTCAGAGCCAGAGTCTTTTCTGACGTGAGCTTTAAGACCACTTTTCCTTTTCCTTGAACTTTAGCAGTTCGAGAATCAGCAAGGTAAACATGATCTTCCCCTTCCTTTACAGGATTATAAGTAGTAAACATCTCTTGGCTAGCACATATGTGCTTGGTAGCCCCGGAGTCTACCACCCATTTCTTCACATCAGAAATCAAGAGAGCTTGTGATACCACTGCAGCAATGATGTCATCATCACTGTCACCATCTTGTTGTACCAAATTTACATTTGGCTTCCGAGGCTTATCACAGTTTGCTCTCTTCCTACACTGTGCTGCATAGTGTCCTGGTTTACCACAGACAAAACAGTCTCCTTTCTTTTTGAAAGAGGGGTTAAAAGCATTGGGTTTGTAATCAGATTTTTTATTCTTATTGTCTTTAGTTTTAGAATCATACCTCTTGTTGTGAGGCTTTGTCTCCACCAAGTTGGCTTTGGATGTCATTTCTCTGGTTCGAGCTGCACGTATTACCTTGCGGTTGGTATCTTCGATGATGATGTGAGTGATCAAGTCAGTCAAGGACAGCTGCTTCTGTTTGTGTTTCAGCTACTGTTTGTAGTCAGACTATGATTCTGGCAGCTTCTCAATCAGTATCCCAGCAACGAACTCATTTGGAAGGTTGATATTTTCAGCACAAAGCTCCTCCAGCAGCTTATGATATTCATTGATTTGCTCCTTGACATCCTTGTTCTCGGTCATCTCCCATTTGTAGTAGTTGCCCACAATGAATTTTTGTTTGCCGGCATCCTCAGCAGTGTACTTTGTCACCAGGGACTCCCATATCTTACAAGCTTCCTTGTAGACACAGTAGACATCAAACAAATCATTAAATAAAGTGCTAATGATAGTGTGTCGGCATACCTTGTTTGCATGAGTCCATGCAACTCTCTAGGCTTGATCAGTATCAGCAGGAGGCTCGGATTGAGCAAGAGCAGCCGCCACACCATGCATGTCAAGAACGGTGAAGACAAATTCCTGCCAGCATTTGAAGTTCTGGCCATTAAAGACTTCTATCTTCAATATGTCCGAGAACGGCCTCGGCAGGGGGACGGCAACAGCGGCAGGGACGTACTGACCTCCAGCCGAACCACTGGGCATACCTTCGGGAGTGACATTCTCAGCACCGTCGGTTGCCATTGGGTTGACTAGTTCTTAAGATTATTTGCGGCACCAGATGCAGATGCGAACAGCGAACTTCAAATTGCTTGAGTCGTGCCCAGAAGGACACTGTCCTTAAGAACTATTCCGGTACACCTGGACGACGGACCGGCAGTTCCCCAGGATTAAACAAGCACTTCTTGCGGCGGATCAAGGGAATAAAATAGCAGACTAAAAACAAGCATAGATGAACAGACAAACAGAAGACAGAGGGAGGAGAGAATGAGAACGCTGGCACACTATTCTATCTGCACCCATATCTATTTATAGGCCGAGAAAGGAGACACAAACGTTGGGTTATAATTACCGGTTAATGCTTCGGTTATACACACATTAAATAATGAACGTTCATGGATTAATGCTTCAGTTACACACGCCTTAAACAGCAAAAACGTGCACGTCCATTAATCCGAAAACGTTCAGCGTTCATCAATCTGGAGATGTTTGGCAGCCAAAACATTAACGCACAGAATTCGATTTCCAAAAGAGGTTTAATGTCCAAAAACTGCCAAAGCCTCAAGTTCAAATTCAAAACAGCAAAATCAGAGGTTTTTCAGGTAAGCTAAAATAATTACTTATTTAATCATTTTTGGAAAAATAACCCGATAAAAGGAACCCATTGCCTCTTGAACTCGAGCGCAGGGGGGCGAATCGGCTGATTTGAACTACGATTGCCCTGAGTTGGCCTGTCTCATGTGCGCGAGGCCACTTCTCTTCAAAGCCCATTTTATTAGCCTACTTCATTCCTTAGTATATATACACTAGAAAATTCCTTCTTTTAGTCAATGTAGGATTTTGACACACACACTTTTGACACACATACAACATGAATAAGCTCTACCATAATAATTGAAAATAAAATTTTACCTAATAGAAAACAATGTAAAACAATTCATATCAAAGAAAATAATAATTTTTAAATTAGCATTTAGTATAAAATTCTATCTTAAGGTGACAGAATCCCAAACAATTCTTAAATATAATTTTTTTTAATGTTGTTATGTGAACTAAAAAGCAATTAAAACCATGAGAGACAGACAAGATCCTCATGACATGATATTCAAATCAAGTCAAAAATCAAGAGAGACAGACATGATCCTCTTGATCATGTAAATGTAGTTAATAAAAAGGATTAGAGTCTATATGCTCCACAAAATAAGATATGTCTTAAGTTAGCACTAGATACATTACATGATCCAAAATAAGAGGCAACGTAAAAGATAGTGTCTCATACACCAAAGTCAAGCCTCTAGTGCTTTCTCGATCGAACTTGCTCCTATAAAAATACTAACCATAGGGAAAAAAACTTAAAAGTCCCAGTAATCAAAAATTGATATGTAATGATGCATATGGATATAACTAATCATGTGATTGCTAAGTAGGTACACAAAAATATTTAATCGAACAATATTTTCAAACAAACCAAAAAAGTATTTAATTGTATGACTACACCTTATATCCTTCTTTCACTATGCCTGGACACCAAATCATTCAGCCAAAGGTAAGTTAGACGAAGCTACATACCACTTATTGGGTCCAATGGGGGCTTGCCACGTGGAAATAATTAACTAGATAAAAATTTTTAATAATACCATATATTAAAATACCTTGTTAAGTCATGCATTATTTAAATATTCAAATAAGACTATAACTGAATAATAATATCTCATCATGATAAATAAAAATAAATTTTTAACTCACTTGGCAATAATTCCAAACAAGTATATAACAGTATTTATTTTCAATAATTCAAAATTCATGATTTTTTCAAACAACAAAACAACACATAACCAATCACATACACACCCATCACAACACATAAATAATAGTTATCTTGTATCTTGAACAACAAGTTCTCCTTCACAACTCCTTTTTCACCACTCTCTTTATCAATATAATCTACATAATTATTTCATAATACTATATATTAATTTTACGTTAAAATTAATAAATAACTTTAATTTAAAGAGTTAGAAAGTCTTAAGCCTAAGATCCATATTAATACTAATTTAAGGTTTATGCCTCATTTAACTTTTTAAATTCTTTTTCTAAAATTTTAATACCCTAATAAACTATATTCAAGCCTCAAATCACTTCTAATATCACAATTTCATCCATTTATATTCTGAAAAATTCGTCCAAAAATAAATTAAAAATTTTAGAATTATCTTGAAGCCTCAAATCACCATTCTATAGCTTTAGAAATATATATTCATACCTAAATAAATATTTAATAATTAGAGGTTCATCCCTACATCTCAGATTCAACATAAATTCAACCATATAGATCTAGAGTCTAACTCAAAAATTTTTAAACATGAGTTTCAACCTTAAGAAAATATTCTATATAATATTTATTACATCCCTAAAAACTTCAACCTGTATTTTTAATCCATCATATCATTAGATTAACTATCCTATAGAAAAATTTTAATCAGAATATTTACTCTACTCTACAAAATAATTATATCATTAAAAAGCTAATATTATTTAGGAAATAACTATGAAATTAATTTTGTAATTAAATAATTTTTTAAATGTTAATATAAATAGAAAAGTTGGAGCATACCTGAAGAAAAAGAAAATAAACCCCCTTGCATGAGAAGGTGGAGCAACGTGAGAGGGAGAGAGACGGGAACCACAATTATATTATTAAAAAAATTATAGATTTGAATTTAATTATTCAAATCTTTGGACCATTAGTTGTAATTTTTACAAATTACTCAATGCTCCTTTTTAGCCTCAACTGAGACGTGTGCTTTTCTTTTATATATGAGAGAACACTTTCTCTTCCCACATCTAACCGATGTGGGACCTAAAAAAAAGCCTTCTCTCTCTCTCTCTCTCTTTTTAACTTACACACACAAAATTATTTATATATTCTAAATCTTAAAATTATAACTAAACATTTCTTATGTGATTTTAAACTTAAATTTTTCATTCATAGTTAAATATCTAACTATAATATTATTTCTGAATAACCTCAAATAATATAAATTCCTATTATTATCATTTTTTTATCTTCAATAAAATTTAAATTTCACAATTTTTTTATTATCTAAAAATCAAAATGTTACACCCACCTTCATATGTCTTGGACGAGGTAAGTATTCATGTTTGTTCTCGTCTTGATTTGCCTAGCTTCGTCTTCATCTTATGGGGATCGATCTATCTTAGTCCTAAAGAAATAAGACCAAGCTTTGTGGGATGGGATAAAAAGATGATTTGGGATGGGAAATGAGATAACCTATGGGCTTCCTCAGATTCCATTTCGTCCCGAATATAACTTACATATTATTATTTTTATTATTAATATGTAATAATTTATTTATTCAGTGTACATATATATATATATATATTTTGTGAATATTATCCACATATTTTTATTCAACATGTAATAACTTTAAATATTTCAACTAAAGAGAAAGGACCAAAGACTTGATATTGTGTTTGGTTAGTTTATTTAAGTTACATAACTTAACAATTCTATTATTGTTTGTATCCTGAAGGTTATTTGTATTTATTATATACTTAACTTTAAGTTATAATTGTGTTCTTTTACTTTTAACTATCATTGTTGTAACCCAATGAGTAAATTTACATGCTTGTGTTGTTTTGGCTATGGACTTAGTACATATTATTATTTAGATATTTTTTTTATATTTTGTCTACTTTACAAATATGTCTCAATTTCATCCCAATTTTAAATGAGATGGGATAGGACACATGATAAAAATTTAATTTTGCTTATTTTTTAGGATGGAACAAGAGAAACAATTGCCCCAGTTCGTACAATCCTATGAACACCTTTAATATAGCTAGGTAGGCGATGAGAGAAATTTTAGTTAAATTAATGTTTTTACTGCATGTTGGGAATATCCCCATGTTAATTAAAATAGTCATCTAAAACGTTTAAGCTATTTTAAACTGAGTAGAAGCCCTAAAATTTAGGTTTCAAAATAAATAAAAAGCTGTTGTAGTTAAAGGATTAGCCCATTATATTAGCGTCAAGCCATAAAATTAAAGTTTTTTTTTAAATTTTTATTTAAAACCAGTAGAGAGTTAAGAGTGCAGAGAGGAAGAGAGTTTCGGCTTTTAATCTTCTCTTTGATCTTGCATACTTCTCTTATTCTCAACCAATATTCAAATATTTGTTATTATATAGATTATAATTAAACATTGATTAAATGTGTACAATATATTTAGACAATAGTTTAAATTAAAAGTGAGCATTAATGTATTTGAATTGTCTAAATTATAATTTTATTGTTTAAATTATAAATTTTATGGGTTGTATATTTTTATTTTTAAAATAATATTAAAAGGGCAAAAGGCAAAACTCTTGAGTCTTGAGGGCTTGAGTAAGCCTAAAAAATGTTACCTTTTGTTGTTGAACATGTTTTTGAAAATTGACAGATAATACGCAATGAGTTTTCTAATACTCATTCACTTGTTGTAACTATTAACAAAATCAGAAATCTTCTTATGTGTGATTGGTTAGTTACTTTTGATTACGTTTTCAGGGAGGCTAATAAATGTGTAGATTGGATGACCTATCTCGATAGCTCAACTGTTTAGATTTTTGATAGCCCACCTTCTAGTTGTAGAAACTTTTTATATGCTGATATGACTTAATCTATCTATCTGCACAATTTTTTTGTGACCTTCTATTAAAAACAATTGACAGATAAAAAATTGTATTTGCTAAACTACACATTATAGCATTGATTAGTTACAAAAAGTTAAGTAATTTAAATTCAAGTCAAACTTGAATAATAAAAGTGTAATATAATTACAAATTACATATTAATTAATTATATTAATGTTGTCTTGAACAATATTGTTTTAAGTAGCTAAAAACACACTTTGCACAATAAAAAAGAGTTGATAGTTATGCACTAATAGACCCTTTGATATGAAACATGGCTATTACAGCACGTTGAAAGAAGCCGTACTAATGGTACTGATGGATGGTTGGACACTAAGTCATCGCCCAGCGGAAGCATAACATTCCGACCCAATTTCTTATATGAGAATCTCTATCAACTCTGCTCTTCTGAGGTGCGCGTAATCGTGGCTTCTTGTTGCTTTGAATCCCATAAACAGATATTGAATTGAGGTTTTTTACATGCAAGATATTGAACTAGCCAAGACTTTGGTAAGGCTAGGTACGCTTTTTCTGGAAGAATTGAGGAAGGCCAAGAGCTTCAGCAAAGAGGGATATGGGTTGGTTTCGAGTGCTTATATTGTGTGCGAAGAGGACTTGGCGATTCCAAAGGAGTTTCAGAAATGGATGATCCAAAATGCATGTGTTCATGAGGTTGTGGAAATCATGGATGCTGATCACATGCCCATGCTTTCCAACCCACATCAACTTTGCTTGGATCTCCTCCACATTGCTAATAAGTACACCTGATGAATTCTTGCTTCCTGTGATTTCCATTAATGTCAGAACTAGATCATTTTACGCTCAGGTGAAACTAACTCAGCCAGTTTATGGCCCTGTGAATCATACAATTTTCTTAAGCTTACATGCCAGTTCAAAATGAGATACCAGCAGGACTTGAATTACCTTAATTGTGTGTTTTTTTGGTTTGTTTTTTCATTTTCATGTTTGAAATGAGCAAGAGAAGTATGAAGAAATATCTTGTCTATTATTAAGCTAAAAGATACAATATATACATCAAGAAAATGACAATATAACAATGATTAATAATTACATAACAATATCAAATAATATCTCTTAATAATGATTGGGATATATACACAATAATGATAGAATATTTAGAGAATATTTTAGATAACATCCCCCTTCAAACTTAAAATGGCTTAATAGAGAGCAACTTGAGTTTGTCTACCAGGAAATGAAAGCAGCCTGGATGAAAAGATTTCATAAACAAGTTTACTAGTTGATGCTTGATTTGAATTGGAACAAGTTGGATGGTGCCCTTAACAATATACTGTTGAGTAAAGTGACAGTCAATCTCAATATGTTTGGTTCGTTCATGAAACACATCATTATGATCAATTTTGATTACAGCTTGATTGTCACAATAGATGTCTGTGAAGGAGCTTTGAGATGCTTCTAGCTCGTCAAGTAATGAACGAAGCCAAAGTACTTCCATGATTGTGTCTGCTAGTGCACAGTATTCTAATTCAGTACTAGAGCGGGAAGGTAATGTTTGCTTCTTACTTCTCCAAGAGATAAGGAAATGGCTAAAGAAGATACATAAATCAGTCATAGATCATCGATCATCACAATCACTGCCCCAATAAGCATCGAAGTAGGCTCGCAGTGCAAGAGAGGAGCTAGTAGAAAAGTGAAGCCCATGATATAGAGTGCCTCTAATGTATCGAATAATTCAAAGAACTGCTACATAATAAGTAGTTCAATGCTCTAACATAAACTGGCTAATAATATGGACTGCATAAGCAATGTTAAGGTGGGTCACAGTAAGATAGATGAGGCCTCTAACCAACTGACAATAATGGGTGGGATTATCCAACAAGGTGGCATTAGTGAAAGTATAGTGAACATTTAGCTCAATAAGAGTATTTTTAACCTCCTCATTATAAGGATAAGCTTGAGATATCAAATCAATAGCATACTTGACCTGAGAGAGAGAAAGATACCATCTCTCCTGTGATGGACCTCAAGTCTAAGAAAATAGTTCAGGTTATCAAGATTCTTCATTTTAAATTGTTGCTCCAAGTATATCTTGAGCTTCTAGACTCTTATATCATCACTGCCTGTGATAATCATATCATCAACATACAACAACATCAAAATAATAATTATGTCATCACTGCCTGTGTTGTATGAACATATATGGGTGCTAGAAGTGCGTTTTAGGTTGAAGTAAGTGTTCATGATGAGAATAAATCTCACTATGCCATGCGTCGCGGCACATATACTACAATTTGCCTTCATAAGTTGTGAATTTTAAAAAATTTCAGAGAAAAGAATTTGAGAAAGATGCAAAACAGAGAGAAGAGAAGGGCTGAGGAGCTGAGGTTAAGTCATTCTGGAGCAGTGGAAGGTGATTCAGATCGGTAACTTGTTAGGTAAGCTGCGTATAACTCTTACCTTTCATTCTACACAAATTTCTCTGAAAATGAGTTATAGAGAAATTGAATCAGTAGAATCTGAAGGGTTTGATTCTTACTCAATAGTAATAAAAAGGTTCTCAAAATTTAAATTAAAGATTTATGACTGGTGTAAAGCTGAACGGTAACGCTTTGAACCCACAGGCTCAATTTTAGCCTTTAAAGAGAGAAAGTTATCTAATTTGAGTGAAATAAGATAGGTTGAGATGGTGTAAAGTAGTAACTGAATAGTCATGAACTTAAAATAGATAAATAAAAAAGAGTTTATGGATGAATATAACCCTAAGTGGTAAAAATGACTTTTTGATTAAAATGGGCCAAATGGCTACAATGTACCAAATGTGTTCAGATTGGCATATTGAGTGAGTGAGTAGAGAAAGGAAGCTTAAGATAAGCTTGTATAATAGTGAAAATCTACATGTAACCTTTCTAACGACAGAAGGGTTGAGGTAATCGAATAACTTCCTTTGTTTGACTGTTTATTATAACTGTATGTTAGTATGCTATGTAACGCATAAAATGTTTTCGAATTAACCATGTTTTATAGTATTGAATGATTGTGTGTGTAAAATAAATTTTGGTTAAAATGAACATTGAAATTGTGTTTTGTAGTGTAAAGTGCTATATATATATATATAGATATATATATATATATATCTATATATATATATATTATGTATGAGAAAGTGTAAATTGTAAAAAGGGAACCTTAAATGGTTCGAGGAAGCATGATCTAAGTGGTGAGAGTTCATCCAAGAGTAATCGGAGGTGATAAAGATCATATGGCAGGGTTTCTTTAGTATCCTATTAGGGTGCAGTGTTGGAAACAATTCTCCTTGATACTTTGAAAGGTGCGGTGCTAGAGAAGATCTCCTGAGTGCCTATTAAGGTACTGTATTAGAGATAAGAGATTTCTTAATATCTTTGTGATACGGGTTGGAGTCAATGATGCTCCATTGTGTTTATTGGGGGGAAAACCATAGTTTGTATTGTGTGTTAAAACATCTTTGGCCGGGTGATTCTACCACTGCAGGTGAGCTCAAGACTAATGAGAGTGTATATTAGTCTGAGATGAGCTTATGGTTTTGTGTCGAGGTGATTTGAAGGTTTGGTTAGTAGAGATCATACTAGTACTTTATGTGATATGATGAAATATCTTGAGATAATACAGAATCCTTTGGGATTGATGAGAAGTTGAAAATGAAATGAGATATACAATGTAAATACTACTTTATGAGGTTTTAATGATATATTATGTTTACTTTCATATTGTTACATGTAATAGTCAATAGGAGTGAGTTATTATGTTATTGAGATTTTTATCTCACCCTCGTCGTTATATGTTTATAGGATCAGGAAGTGATCAGGCCAAGGGAAGAGAGTTTGGACCAGCTTGAGTTGAGAAGCCGTGTACTCTGAGGTTGTGTAATGAACTGAACTCAAAGATTGTATATATAAGTGTATATGAGTTGCCATATGATTGCATGCATGTATTGAATTGAGTTTTTGTGAAGTTTAGCCCGATTGATTGTATATATATGTTGTTTGAAACAAAAAGGGGCTATGACTTGAAGTATATGTGTAAAATGGTTGTTTATATTAGTGAATCTTAAGCCAAAAGATAAATTATGAGGAAATGAGTAATTTGAGGGGCTAAGATTGTATTGTGAATATGATTGTATATATATGAGTTGAGAAATAGCCGTGCTGGCTAAGTTATGCCAAGAAATGGCATAACATGTCAAGTTTGTGAATTAAGGAAATTGGCCATAGAAGGGTCAAATCTCAATATATGAGTATGATTGTGATTAGTTTTGGTTAATTAGGTATATTAGATCATTTTGGACTTGGTTCAAGGCCTAGTGTAGTCTAATGAGAGAAAGGGATTGAATTGAGAGCTTGGGTACATAAAATTTTTAGAAAAAGTGACTTTTTACATCCAGGTGTCCAAATTTTGATCGGACCGTTAGATTGTATCCAAACTTATCTCATTAGTTAGTATACAAGCTAAGCTTCGTGTGGGCACTTGAATTACTCTAATTGAATGTTGTATGAGAAATTGACACACATCAAAAGTTGGTCATTTTTACTATTAAAATAATAGTAGAAATTCAGACAGGCGCGCCGCGGCACACGACACAGACAAGGCGAGTGTGTGGCTCTATGCCATATGCCGTGCACTGACTGTCCGCCGTGGTGCACGTACCAAGTTGTAAATTCTATTTTTGAGTTAAATTACACACAATTGAGATAAGAATGCTGGTGGGTTATGTCCACTATGTATTTGAGGAGTGCATGAATTATTTCCGCTGTATTTTCTCTGAATGTATTGTGATTTAATAGATTTTATAAAATAAGTCATCGGCCGAAACTTTTGAAATGAATTTGATTATTGTGAATGATGTGAGTTAAGGGTAATACTGTAATCTTCTCTTATATTGTGTGGATATATAAGAGAAGGTTACAATGAGGACTATAAGTGAAGCCTAGTTGACTCATAATGTTACTAAATTTAGCAAACCATATATAAGGAGCCTGTTTGAGCCTATATAAAGCTTGATGAAGATGACAAGCCTGTCTTTTGGATGCTAATACCTAAGTGGAGGATTCATATATACTTTTTCCTCTAGATCTCCATTCAAAAAAGATTTTGAACATTCATCTGATGAAGGGACCGGTGCTTAATAGTAGCAATGGCTAGAAGACTATGAACAAAAGTCATGTCTCCTTATAATTAATACCATATTCTTGTCTAAACCCTTGGGCCACCAAGCAAGCCTTACATTACTTTAAAGAGCCATAAGAATGAGTCTTGTTTTTGTACACCTATTGACAGCCAACAAGAGTTGTTACATGATAGGGTTGAGTATTGTTGGATGATACAGGGCTCAGAAGACATGACTTGTGTGGAAACATCTTGAGGCATGATAGTAGGCATACTAGGAGCAAGTGTAGCATCGGTAATGAGCTCTATAGGGGAATCTACATCAAAGTCACTTGGAAAAAGATTAGCCAAAAGATATGTGAAAATAGAAGGTGAAGGAGGCGAAACAGATGAGAAATCAGTTCAGGATGAAAACATCATATGTTCCCAGAAAACAACATGAGAAGAGATTTGAATGTAAAGAGATATAGGATCCCAATAATGATAACCATTATGCTCAAGGTCATAACTAAGAAGACAACAAATACGAGCACGGGCTTTTAATTTGGTAGTTCTATGTAGAGGGAGAAGAACAAAATAGACACAAGCAAACACTTTCAAAAGACTATAATCAGGAGAAATACCATGAAGGTGCTTGAAAGGAG